CTGTTCGATCCCAAATATTGTCAGTTATCAAATACTGCCAAGTATTCGTTCTATGTTCAGTTGAAGCTGTTCGATCCCAAATATTGTCAGTTATCAAATACTGCCAAATATTCGTTTCAGTACGGTAGCTCTGTGGATCTGCAGTGGAAGAGTTAGATTCAAGTCTAGTCGCACCTTAGAGACCATCGAGATTTTGGGGAGTATAAGCTTTCTAGAGTCAAGACCCCCTTTGCCAGATACCCCCAAAATACCGTTGGTCTCTAGGGTGCTACTGGACTCAACCCGACTCTGTCAAATATAAAATACCGAAACCGGAACATGTCAAATATCACGGTCAGATGTTTGAAAATATCTAGCAAACTCTCTTAAGCAAACTCCAGAGGACGACGGAAGACAGGAGGGCCTGGCGTGATGTGGTCCATAGGGTTGCGAAGAGTCAGACTCGATTGTGCGACTGAGCAACAAAAGTGGGTAATAGAATGCAGGGAGGAGAGCTGGTGAATACTCAACACATTTTTCAGCAAGATGATTTTTCAGCAAGCAAAACCATGCAGTTTTCAGATTGGTTACAAGGGAGGAAGACAGAAGTGTGGCCAATATTTTTTAAAATGTAATGTGAGATGATAAAGCTAGTTGTTTTGTCTTTTTTTTAAAAAAGGACTTGCTTTAGGTGACACCGGATTCGACCCCCTAGCTCCTGTCTCGGTAGAACAGGACATCTCTACAGCATCGAAGACCTGATGGCCTTCCGTTCTGTTTTTAACTTGGCATAAACAGATTGGTGGCGCCCCCTCCCTCTCTCCTTGCCTCTCTGTTCCTTTCCCTATCTTTCCATCTCTCGCTGGTATTTCCGGAGTGCCAATCACCTCCGTATCTTTCAGCCGGTGGTCCGGTGTGGATTAAACGGGGACCCGCGGTACCCAGCGAGGCGATATCGCTTCGGTCCTTTTCTTTTCATACAATTTGGAGATGAAGACAGATAGGGGAATGACACAGATAACTGCTCTGATTGAGAAAAAAGGGCTCCCGGGGCATCTTGGGCCTACCGATGCCAGACGCCAGAACGTGAGCCTATCATCAAGAGAACTCTGCCGCTCCTCCCAGGGGTGATTCGGCACAGCTTGGCGGGGATTTGTGTGAGTCAGGAACATGGGTGAGGCTGCCAACCAAACCTTCTTTCACCTTTGACCGAATACTTGGTAGAAGACGAGAGTTAAAAGGACTTGGGTCAGGTTCAGTGTTCCCTCTAAGCTGAGTGAGTGTGAGCTAGCTCACAGTTTTTTAGCCTCCAGCTCACACATTTTTGTCTCTGCTCAGGAAGGATGGCTCCGGAGCAAACTAATTTACGCAGGAGCCAAATCGCTCGCTCACAACTTTAATGTCAGAAGCTCACGAAGTAGAATTTTTGCTCACGAGACTCCACAGCTTAGAGGGAGCATTGGGGGCGGGGACATTCGGGAGGCAGCCGTGTTGGTCTGCAGATCAATTAGATTCTAGTCCAGTAGCACCACAGAGACCTAAAAGATCTTCGGAGGAGTCCTACTCACGGGACTCAACAAGCCAAACTTCCTCGTCATCAGAATCATCTGAATCGGAGAGAGGAGTAGCCACTCCCAAACTACAGAAAACAAAGAAATCTAAGAAGAAAAGACTCTAAAACCAAAGCATGAGTTCTAAGGGCAGTAACTGTGCCAAGCTAATAACTTTATAATCGAACTAATCTCTGTATAACCTGTACCAATAGGTTAAAAAGATCTATTTTTTGAGCTTTTCAGATCGTGATTTGTATTAGTCTTTACCCTATCCCCATATCCAGTAGGAGATTTAGAAAAGAATGGTAGCTTTCCTTCCCCTATCCAGTAGACTATATGTATCTAGATCTCCCTGACCCATTTCCCATAGTAATAATGATAGGGCATTAGTATTCCTTTCCCCATTCCATATATGTAGTGTGTCGTGTGTAGAAAATGCAAAAATTAAAAAAATCCCCTTTGGGGGGTCAAAAAAAAAAGATCTTCAGGGTATGAGATTTTGAGCGTTGAAACTTCCTCGTCTGAGCCCAAAGTTTTCTTTGTGGCAGGGGCATAGCCAGAAAATTTTGGTTGGTGGGGTGTGGGGAAACCTGGGCTGGGGGGCAACCCAGCCGCACCTGCTGCTCCTCTTGCAGCAGCAGAGGAAGCAACTCCAGCTCCACTGTGATCTATTTATTTTTCGGTCTGGGGAAAAAATGAGACTGAAGGTTCCCTGACTGGGCCTGGGGTCATTTTGGACCACCCACCCACATCTTACACCCCCCCCCCAGAATTCTTCTGATTTTTTTGGTCTGGGGAGGCAGCACTCATCTGTCAGGGGCATTGCCCCCAAATGCCCCCCTGGCCATGGGCCTGCTTTATGATATATGTCAAAGTTTGCTTTGAGGGAAGGAGGAGGAGGAGGAGATTGGATTTATACCCCGCCCATCACTACCCAAGGGAGTCTCAGAGCGGCTTACAAACTCCTTTCCCTTCCCCTCCCCACAACAGACACCCTGTGAGGTAGGTGGGGCTGAGAGAGCTCTTGACAGAAACTGCTCTTTTTCAAG